TGCCAAGGTCACGTTACCCCTAACCTAGGGTCGTGCACACCCCTGACATGTTAACCAAGGTCACGATACCCATGTAACAATCTCGGGCCGTGCTCATCCCTAGTCATAGGTGTGAAGAACCACAATCACATCTCATTCACATTCCACACAACATCTCATAGTTCAATTCCATACACACATCAGATAAGTCCAAAATAATGAGTTTCATACACCTCAAGCAATTCACATCTAAATCATCATTTTTTATCAAGTAATATAACAATAACATTCATAAATTAATATAATAATCAATGGAATTATCAATTTAATATAATTTTAATATAAATAGTAAAACCCGCAATTGTTCCAAAACCTAACTCACAGGCACTTTTCTACAATTTCGTTTTCTCTCATAGATCATCATTCTTACGAATTAAATATATATTTCTAATCCTCAACACATACAGAATCTAGTGGGATCATTAATTCCTCAAACATAAATAATCCATTTTTTTTCCAAAACCTAACTTACAGACACTTTTCTATAATTTTGTTCTCTCTCCCAGATCATCATTCTTACGAATTAAATATATATTTCTAATCCTCAACACATACAGAATTTAATGGAATCATCAATTTCTAAGACAGAAATAATTATAAAATTACTCATAATCTTAAGGGACTCTTCCTCTACCTAATTCCTTCATGTAACTTTACATACAAATAATCCCCTTTTCTCCCGTACCTTGATATGTAGAAGCTGAACCTACACAAGATCTAGTTGGTCTCCCTCGCTGGGTTCCCCTCGGTCTGAAGCAGAAAGTAGAGGGAAAGAAGAGAGAGCAGAATAAAATAAATTAGAAAATGAGAGGTGTGCATTTTGGGAGTGGTAGAGAGCTCAATTTATAGGCATCAGGCTTCGCCGGAACGGCCCATTCCAAATTCGGAACGGCCCGTTCTGGACCCTTAAATCATGACTAAAAATCACATCGAGAACGACCTGTTCTCAAACCAAAACGACCCGTTTTGGGGTGCATTTAATAATTACAACGGTCATATTTTGGAACGGCCCGTTCTCACCTCTGGAATGGCTCGTTCTCAACTAAGAATCATAGACAAATTTAATGGTTTGAAACGGCCCGTTCCAAATCCAGAACGGTCCGTTCCGGGCTACCCAAAGTAGGTCTATTTAGTAATTTGGAACGGCCCATTCCAAATTACTAAACCACCTTAATTGGACTCTAGGCCAAGTGAAAATTGGATTGTTACACAATTTCAATATAAAAAAAGAAGAAAGTATTAGAAACATTTATTTATAAATGTATATTACTACTAAATTTTAATATCATTTTTAATAGATTCAATATTTAATAAATTTATACTTTAAACAACTTAAAAAATATTTTTTTTTATCATATTCACATGTTAAATTTTATAATATATAAATTAGATATTTTCAAAAAATATCATTTAATTTTTTATTTGATTTGCTAATTAAAGCGATTATTTTATCTTAAATATAACATACATATAAAGGTTAATTCAATATACATTTAAATAATTTATTACCCTATCATATTAACTAAATTTATTATTCTAAAAAATTGAAATTTTACATTAGGTGTTTTGCTATTATAAACTCAACCTATTTCATTTTTTTTTTAAAAAATAGTTCAGCAAATTAAAATAAAACATTAATTTTTTCAAGATCTAGAAACAAATCACAGTGATTGATTTTGTTTTAAGTTTTATTTGTTTGATTATAAAATATTTTTACAACATAATTTTTGGTCAATTTTTTTAAGATTATAATCATATTTTCTATAAATTTGAAAACTTCCTTGATTCATAAATAGATATATTAGTATGGGATTTTGTTCTTTTTGTTAAATTGACATTTACTAATCGTTAAATTTTAATGTTTACTTATATTTTAGTGATATCATTTAGTAACATGACGTTTAAAAATAAAATTTAAAAATATGTAAATAATATTTTTATTAATAAAATAAATATCAATCATTCATAAAAAAATATAAAAAATTTATATGTTATTTTTTAATTTTTATTCACATATATCACATTGTTAATATCACGTTATTTAAGTACTGACAATCATAAAATAATATTAAAATTTAACGATCAACAAAAATTAAATTAGAAATAAGTCAAAAAATTCATGATTTGAAAAATAAGAAATTAAATATTTATATTTTAAAATAAATTTAAAATAACAAAAATAGATAAATCAATAATATAATTTAACCTTAATATTTCACGATTACTTTATTATATAGCTTAATAAAATATTTTAAATTAATTTCAATTTCTTCAAAATATATCATGTTCATTACCGAACATCACAGTTCAATATCTAATTATAACTTTTTGTTATACTAATTTTATAGTTTAAGTTGTTATTATTTAATTATTGCATGGAATAAATTCCAATAAAATTAATTGATTAGTTATTGTAATATATTATTTTAATTAACTAACTTAAATTATTTAAATGAATATTATTCGTTTAAATTATTTCTTATTTTACCCAAAAAGGTTAAATTTATGATGTTGTCAATTTTTTTCTTTAATCATATAATTTATTTTAATAAAATTGAAATATTTTGAATTTAATTTTTTAAATTAGAATAATTTTAATTTTATTAAAATATTTTTTTATTAATTTAGAATATAAAATTTATTTCGTTAAATTCACTTACGTGAAAAACATAAAACTCAAGCATTATATAGTAAAAATTGTGGAAAAATGAATTAAATGTGCCATTAAAAAACTTTAAAAATTAATATCATATTATTTTATGATATCTGGTTAGACTTATTTTTACATGAATTATTTCATATGTTTGTGCCTTTTTAATTTTTTTTTATTTAATAAATAATAATTCTATTTTAGGAGATCAATTTTTATAAAGATAAATTAGCACTTTTAATAATTATTGGTTGACATTTTATTGTTGGTTCCAACGTGAGTTAAATTTAATAACTTTTATGTAAGTTTAATTAAACAAATTTTATCTTTCAAGTCGATCAATACAAAATGTGTTTCAAAATAGAAAATGATAATTGATATGTAAGGATCAAATTTATTTAAATTTAAAAAATAAATATTTTAAAAAATAAAATCTTAAAAATAAAATAAAAAAGAAGAAAAGAAAATTAATTTTAATTGCTTCTTTATTTTTTGACTTAGTGACCCAACACAGCAATTCTTTTTTCTTTATTTTTATTCTCAAATTTCATTTATAATTAGCGGCTATTTTAATTGCTCTCACAGTTTTGGTTCCGCAGGTTGCGAGTTCATTGCAAACTCTTCTGGCTTCCTCCAATGTCTTTGTCAGTATTAAGCCATTCTTACAAAATCCATTTTTCAAAAAATAAATAATCCCCTCTATGACTCAAGAAATATCAAGAAATATACCTCAATCTAGAAGATTTGAGAATGAAGGTGGAGATTAATATAAAAGGGAGAAACCACACCAAAAAGCTCACCAACAATCCTTAACACTAAGACATAAATCAAGCCCAGAAAACACTAAAAAATACTCCATCTTTGCCAATACCAAGGAGGAAAACTAAGGTGTAAATGACTAAAATTTGAAGAAGAGAGTAATAAAGGAAGAACATAGGAGGGAAAAGATGTAAGAAAAGAAGAAAATCAAGGAAATTAGGAGAAAACTCGTAAGCTTGGAGAAATATGTATGAGTTAGATGTATAATTTTATTTATGTCCTTATAATTGTAGAGTATGTCTTGATCATTACTTCTAAGTTTGGACGCATGTAACCTTAGGTTAGATGATATGTTTTCTAATTGTACTTATTGATAAATTTGATGTTTTGAGGTTGAATCTTAATGTGGTTGATTGTTTATGATTGGATGTTGCTATTGAAATTGTTTGAATTGTATTTGAAAAGTTTGATTGAGAATGATTTTTGAAATGATAAATTAATAGTAATTCATGTTGCATATTACATAATGTGGTTTTTGAGTCAATTTTTTTTTGAAGGGTACAGAAAATAGTATAAAAATATTTGAGAAATGACTTTTATATCAATGATAGTTGATAAAAAAAATGAGTTTTGAAAATAGTGTTTTTTCTTGAAATTCTTTTATTTATGTTTACTATTCAAGACATTGGTGGCAAGAGATTGACTATAATAGTAGATACTATCAAGGACAAATGGAAGTATGAGATGGAAATAAAAAATATAGAGTGAGAGCTTAATATGGTTGTGAAAGTTTGATTGAGGTATTTTGTTTTTGTGCTACAAATATCATAAGATAGTAAATAAGGTTTGAGTAGAATGAGTAAGATAAGACCTTTGGTTTAGGGGATAGACCTTTGGTTTAGGGAGTGTTTGGGTATGGTTTAGGGTTTAGGGTTTATGGTTTAGGGTTTAGGATTTAGTCTTTATTTGATTTTGTGTTGTGGAAGCCTATCGAGTGCGTCGACACTTTAACTAATGCCTACTTGTTCACATTTAGTGGGACTTTGTCGAATCACTAGACAAAGTGATGCAAAACTTTAGCTTCATTAATCAACCAAGAGAGAAAGTCTCCGTAGAGTATTGAGTCAAAATGATTTTTGAAAAGTATATTTTGAGTCAAAATCTTCATCTCATAAGCATATTGAATTATTTGAACTATTATTAATGAAAAATCTTATTAAGTTGTTGTGTGTATTAATAATTGTATGAACTTCTTAAATGATTATATGATTTGCTTGTGTGAGATATCGATGAAATTAAATGTCTAACCCCATAAATATATTTAAATCCAAATATCGAGGATATCATGATGCAAAAAATTTGAAAGTGCAATTAAAGGTTCTGATGCATAAATCCAGAGTATATGATGAAGGTTTATTTTATTAAATTATGGTATTTGCATTAAAAAAAATTGTAATATTTAATGACTTTTATATAATATAATTTTATTTAGATAAATTTATTCATTTAATTTAGTATTTTTATACTTATTATTTATATTAATATAAATATTACGCTATAACTTTTGAAATAATTATTTCTGTTCTATTTGAAAAAGACGAGAATGATAAGGCAGAGGAACTTCTCCGAGAAATGATTGCTAGAGGCTTATTGTAAGTGTTAAATCAGCTGAGATTCTTTCCAATTCTTAACAAATAACTAGCTCATTTTCATCAACAAATAGTTTCATTTTTTTTTTCCATTTATGTAAACTTTCCTAACCTACTCTTATTTGCTTATATATACAAACACGTAAATATGACTCAACTTCTATAGTCTACTTATGGACTTTATTTTTTGTGTATAAATTCCAATTTTTACTAATTTGCACTGCATGTGGGTTTTGAGTGAAAACTTACAGTCATTTTATTTTTTTCTCTTATTTTACTAGGATACTTTTTTATCATTCTGTACGTGTTTAAGACTTGGCTCAACAGAAACTGTTATTTATTTTTCTTGTTTTCTTTTGATTTTTATTTGTGCTTGATCCTAGGCCATTTTTTGAGGTGAAAGAGGATAAAGCACAAATCTTTTCCTTATAAGTGAAGGTGATTTCATTAGTAAGACCATTTTGCATAGTTTTCTTTTCAAATTGCCATGGTCTTCCTAATAAAATATGGCAAGCTTCTATTGGTACTATATCACATAAAACTTGATCCTCACACTTCCCAATGGAAAAATTAACCTTCACTTGTTGGTTAACTACTATGTCTTCATCCTCATTGAGCCACTGTAAATGATAGGGTTGAGGATGTGGCATAGTAATTAAACTCAACTTTTTAACCAACCTAGTGCTACAAAAGTTGCACCATGAACCACTATCTACAATGAGAGAACATGCTTTATTTGAAACATCTAGTATGAAAAATGTTCTCTCTTTGAGATAAAGTACCACTAGGTTGACTATTAAGGATTCTCTTAAGCATTAGGAGTTCTCCTTCATAAGGATAAACGGACTCCACTTTGGACACTTGAAGTCTTGTTTCATCCTTACTCTCACTTGAAAAGGAGGTAGTAGTCATTTCTTGACTTCTATAAGTGTCATGCCCCCTTAAGATCATGACTTTCTTTGTAGGGAATTGAGAAGCAATGTGGCCTATCCCTAGACACTTGAAACATTTAATATCACTAGTCTTAGTGCTAGTGTGTGGAGTGATGAGACCTTTACCCTTATATCTACTCTTGTCTTTATTCTTAGCCAGTTCCTTGGAGGGTTCTAAAATAATTTTCTTTTCAAAAGACTTTTCCTCCTCCATGTAGTTTTTCTTATGAGATCTAGAGTGGGAGCTTTCTCTTTTAGAAGAAGATTTTCTTACTATTTGTTGTTTTACCCTTACACAAAGTTGGACTAAGTCATTTAAGTCCCTGTAGGGTAGTATCTCCACTTGGTCTCTAATCTCTAAGTCAAGACCACTTAGGAATCTAGCTACAGTGGTGGCTTCCTCCTCTCTAATACATGCCCTCATCATGTATAGCTCTATTTGTTGCCTATATTGCTCAATAGTCATATCTTTCTGTTGGAGCTTTTAGAGCTTGTTCATAAGCTCCCTCCCATAATAAGAGGGAATGTGTCTCGTCCTTAATGCACTCCTAAGATCATTCCAATATTGGATAGGAAGATCATTGCAGAGACACCTCTCTCTTTCCAAAGAGGTCCACCAATACATGGCATGCCCTTGGAAGCTAAGGGTAGCTAGAGGGACTTTCCTCTCTTCACTCACCTTATGGCAAGAAAAGAGTTGCTCAACCTTCATCTCCCGATCTAGATACAACTCCATATCATATTTTCCAAAGAATTGTGGGAGGTCAACTTTGACTTCCCTAGGTGATGGAAGAGCATGGGCTAAAGGCCCAACCACTAGAGCTATGACCAGGAGGTTACTTGAAGATTTGACTGCTTCAGAGCTTAGTGGGCCCAATGGGCTTGGTGGGCCTAGGGTGCTTCTCACTTGGGCTTGATTGATTATACACCATGTCTAATTGTATTTTCTTAGTATAGGAATCTATTTTCATGTTGGTCTTGTATTTTGACCATAGATTAGGGTTTAGGTGTTTTGGGCTTAATTTTGGGCTTCTTGGGCTTTGGGCTTTTGATACCCAATATTGGGCTCATTCTTCTTCTTATATTTTTTTTCTATTCATTGTATTCATTAGACCAATGTATTTCGGTCATTAGAATAGGATTATATGAAGAAAACATTAATAGGAGAATTAGGTTTCATTTAGACATCATTTAGAAGTAATTTGAGTTGAATTTGAGTCACATGGTTTGCATGGGATGGATCCGGCCATGTGAGCTCCAAATTCACCTCAAATCAC